TCAATGGACAAAGGGACAAGTTCTCACTCCTGAATTTGCCAGGGTTTTTTCACACTGGGGTTGTGCCTCAAATGTTCAACAAGCAAGGTCTTAACAGCAGTGTTAGAAATAGCCGGGCTGAACTCTCTACTTGGCAGAAAGCTCATTTTTCACTCAAAACTGATGAAAGGTGACACTATGAGATGAGTCAGATTTGGTTTTCTTGTGCAAAGAGTATGATTAGACCTAAAAAGAGAGAGTCAAGGTTAACAACTCAACCAGACTCATCCAAGTTTGTGTGATTTATGGATGAATTACAATGAGTTGTCCTTCATAGCAAGCTCCTTTAAATAGCCATGATTATGCTATAAAATTATGTAACAAAACCCAGTATTTTTAAATAAAAATAGTCTTGCTTAGGATACGGAGGCAGAGCCAAACTATTTTAATGTCATATTTGATTGCTCAGTGAGTGCATCTTGTTTGCTTTTTTTTGCTGGTTGTGCATGTAAAATTAAAAATCAAAAGGCTAATAGATGAAAAAGTTGTTAACATAAAGGTTAATTAGTCCCCAGAAATCAAATCTTTTGCTCTTGCAGCTACAAAGTTTTCCAATCATAAAAATATATTTTTCAAGCAACAGCTTAGCAATACTTAGCAAAACTTTGTACTAGGGGTGGCCAAAAATACTCAGCAGAGGATATGGAAATGATCTGTGCATAAAGACACACAGCTGGTGCATTAAAGACCCTGCTGAGGACAGTCAGCATCTGGTGATCTGGTTGAAAACTCACCCAAAACATTTAATGCTAAGAGCTTATAAAAATGCAAATATGTGCCATGCCACTTTCTTCAGAGAACCACGGAGTTGCAGTTTTATGTGTCTTATCAGCCTCTTCTCTGTGACAAAATTTAGCATCTTCCTGGCAAAATGTCTGCAAATCTATTTGGGTTTAATATCTGGAGTAAATAGTGCCTACTGATGTGATTTCTTACAGAACACATTGTATAAGTGCACTGTCAGTGTCTGTAAGTCTCACCCTTCCACCTTCCATCTCTGGTGCTGAATTTCAACCAAGGCAGAGAGAAAGACTTAAACTGCCAGAGGACAAAGTCAGGTGGGATATTGGGAAGAAATTCTTCGCTGTGAGGGTGGGAAGGCTCTGGCACAGGTTTCCCAGAGCAGCTGCGGCTGTTCCATCCTTGGAAGTATCCAAGGCCATATGGGACAGGGCTTGGAGCAACCTGGGGTGTGGCAGGTGTTCCTGCCTATGGCAGGGGGTGGGACTGGATGGGCTTTAAGCTGCTTCCAATCCAACCTATCCTATGATTCCATGCTATTGACCACCATATATAGCAGTGGCTCATGCACTGCTGCTGCAGCCAGTCCTGAAGCAAGGAGAGGGCCTCAAGGACTCTCTGCTTCCATAAGAATGGAAAAGCTAGGGAAACCCCTCTGTTCCAAACACCTGCCATGCTGTGTACAACTCCTTGTAAAATGTTGCAAGGCAAGAAAGACCAAAGAGCCATGAAACTGTGAGTGCTAAGGAGAAAAAGAAATACATTAAAAAATGCATCTTCTGCTGAAGGTCGGACAAGTCTGATTCTGGGGCTAGTCTGAGAGTGGTGCAGAGTGATGTGCAGAGGCTCTGTCCAGTTCTCCTGTGTCCTTACTGCTTCTGGGAAGAAAAGGAAGCAAAAAGATTCCCTCAGACCATAAATTGAGATTGCTGCGACCAAAATTTTTCTGGAGTAATGAACTCTGGCAGAAACACATCCATATCATGTTGTAGAGAATGCAAACGAGATTTCCCAGAAAAGGGCAAGAGGAGCAGTGAGACTTATCCCACTGAAATAGGAGAAAGGAGTTGGTGAACATAGCAACCTGCACTAAAATATTTAGATGTTTAGATTGGGTACTATGAAGAAATGTTTCATGCCAAGTGCTGTAAAGCATCAGAACAGAGCATCCAGGGAAGTGGTGGAGTCACCATGCCTGGAAATATTCTAAAAATGTGTGTGTGTGACACCTGAGGATGTGGTTCATGGTCAACGTGGCGGTGGTGCTGGGTTGATGGGAGGAATTGGTGATATTAAAGGTCTTTTCCAACAGTAATTCTATGATCCTATATTCCCTTCAAGAGGTTGTGACTGCACACCCAAATCTCATCAGGAGAGAGGGGCACGTACATGTCCAACAATCTGGATTCTGTAGTTCTGCACAAGCAATTGACTGTCTACTAAGGACAAAGAGAAATATCTGAGGGTGGTTAATTCCCATTCTCACCACCATCCAAAGAGCCTATTCAATCAGTTTCGACATGAGAAGAAATTGAAATTCATCACTATTACAAATCCTTCCCCAGTGTTGCCATGTGAAGGAAAAAGAGATTTATTAAAGATGTGACTGGGGAGACAGATCTGAGACAAAAAAACCCCGAAACTTATTCTGAGTACACAGTACTTTATGAAACACCTAGATGGGAAGTCAAAAATTTAATTAATTTTTTCAGAGGGAAGACACACATATCCCATATTTATCATCCTGCATCACATGCTCACGGAAACCTCCAAAGAGCAGGGCATTAGGGACTCAGTATTTCATTTTATCACCTGCTGATGTCTCTGTTGAGCAGTAAAAATGGCAAATTATTTGCAAAATTATCAGGCTCCCCCAGTGCCTCAGCACTTCTCAAGGGAAATAAAGTGCTTAGAAATACAGATGTCACCAAGATTAACTTCCAATGCCTGAAAGGCATTTGCCTGCCTGACCTGAGTGCAGACCATGGCTTTGCCAAATGCTACTGAGCAAACAAAAATGCTCACATGAAGCCCCAGACAGAAGCTCAGACACTTCAATGGCATTTCACTCACTTCATCTGGGGGAAGGGTGAACTTCACTCTCCAAAATCTGACACTCAGCCCAGCAAGGCAAAAGGACTTCTAAAACTGACAGTGTGGCTGTTTGTATGGCTGACAAAATCTATTCCTTGCAAAAATACACAAAAGATGCCCCATGAATGGAAAACAGTGGATTTTAGCCCTTATTATTTCTAAAGATGCAATAAAACCCAGAGAAAGCTGGATTTTGTGGATGAATTTCATCACACTCTCTCAGACATGGCAGAACACCCAGAACACCTTGTATCTTGTATCTGGAAGGCCCTTAATTAATCAGCATGTCTGGGGAGGGGGGGGTCTCAAAAGGCAGAAGTAAATCCCAGGAATTCAGTAGAATTCCAAGACCCTCTTGTTCTGCTCCTGCAGGACCAGCTACCCCAACAGGACCTCCACACAACCTGGAGACTCTATTATTCTCTCTGAGGTCTACAGAAATCTGTATTCACCTTCAATAAAATGCTCATGCTCTCAGCTCAGGGCTAAAACCTGAACTTCCTAAATCAAAAGTTTAGAAAAAGTTTAGAAAAAAGTGATTGAGGTCTGAAGCCCTCCTCATAGGTAGCTTTAGTGCTGACATCCTTGCAACCAGCATCCTCTCCACCTAAAAAGCTGCCTGTAGCAGCACTTATACATACTTAATGTAGTATTTCACCACTCTGTGATGGACAATAGTTTCTTTGTGGATTAAAATGTTTATTCTTCTAGCCAGATTTGTTGGGATGACTAAAAGATGTAGAGCGAGAAAAAAACTGAGTGATAAAATTACCTAAGTGCTAGCACTTCACCACCCAGAAGTAGATTTGGGATAGCAGTGCTAGGGAAAAAAAAAAAAAAGAATTTAAAAAAGCAGAAGATTAACAGAAATCCATAAAACTTTCATTCCAGGAGGTGCTCCCTGCAATGCTTGTGCTGGGAGAAGGGAGGTCAGTACCTGCCCTGGCTCCATCTGGCAGGGCCCACAACCTAAAAACATCTTGTTGGACACCATTGGGAGATCATAAGTGCAGAAGGAACCACTTCATCATGAACACAGAGCTGAAATCTGACACTCAGTACCACACAGCATTGCCGGGGACAAAAATACAAGCTGTCAATACGAGTCTGAGGGAAAACCAGCAGAAGGGCCTCTTATTATTATTTCCCCTGTTTCTTCTGCTCTTCCCCTAAGTGCCCACTTCTGGGCACTGTCAGACTGTGGCGAAACATCTCTGTAATTCATTGTGGCTTTTTATGGAAACTTTCTTGGAGCCAAGGCTGCAAATGCCACTGAGGAAAATGACGGATGCTGCAGGCTTTAGGAAATAAACCATTCTTTGATTGCTTGCTTAGCCAAGCAATTTGCAGTGTGATAGACAGGAATTATATCATCCAGTGTCAATTTGTCTATTCATTTTTCCCTCTCCACATGCTTCGTCTCCTTGATTGAATAATCACTAACAATAATCACAAGCATCTGGGGGAAGGAAGTACATCCATCAGTTTTAATGTCAGCAAGAATGAGGGCTGATTCCTCCAGCATTCACCATAGCTCTGCATCTTCAAAGTCATTTACATTTTCCTTGTACCAGCACTAATACCCAGATTGTATTATTTCTGTTACATACTCCCATTTCAGTTTATAATCTAGGAACAATAGAATGGCAATTGGGAAAATACCCAGTTTCAAAAAATAGGTGGTTGTTTCATCTGCTATCATGCATTACCACAAGTATTTTTACATCTATATTTTAATTCTCTGAGAATATTGATGAAAGTGTAAGCTTGAAAGACTGAGGCTGAATAAGACAGACCAGATCCCTTACTGTGTCTAGATATTTCATAGACAACAGTCCACAACATATACTGAATATTCAGTGAACAAATACCAAATTCTCAGTCTGTATGGTTGCATAATTCTAAATATACTTACATATATATATATATATATATATATATATATATATATATATATATATGATGCTATATAACCATATAATTCCACAGTGGCTTTCTCTAGTTTTGTGAAACAATTTCTACCAGCTGAGCTTCCAATTCCCCCCAATCCCCGCCCCCCCCCCAGCAGAGAATACAAAATCAGTTTAAAGGCACAATAAGTGGTACAAAGATTGCCTTTCCCAGAAAACTGTTAAAGTGGTTTGTTTATTCAATAGAATTAAATCATCTTTCAAACACAGTGACACAGACCAAAAAAAAAAAAATTAAAAAAACCAAACCCAAAGACCCCTGATTACTGTTCTAGTTATGGCTTACAGCAATTGATAGGCTTTCTATCACAACCATAATACAGCTACAGAAACAATAATAAGCCTAAATCACAAGGTGTAAGTTTGACAAAATAAAAGTCAGCCAAAGGACACAAGAGATTAACATCATTGTAAAACCAACATGATTCTGCATGGATTTATCCACCCTCACTATCACTGCCTTACAGAAACAACAAACATGAAACAGCTTTCTTTTTGTCATAGCCCAAGCTCCCCTACAATGAAGACCCAAAGTTTTACTCCAGTATTCCCAAAATAAGGATTTGTTTCCCACCAGGTGAAAATCAGGGATATACTCAACAGGCAGCACTTCTTAAATACCATTTATATGGGCTCAATGCAGAGGTTTTATTAGGAACCTCATGGTTGAGAGCAAGGAGGGCCTAGAAATGAAGGAAATGTCACCGAATTTTTGTCCTCTCCCAGACAGAGAAGGGATTTTTCTCCCTTCCCTCATCTCTAAGGGGACAGGCTCGAAGGCACACCTAAGTAAGTGTGTATCACTTGGCCAACACAATGTTAACAAATAGGGTTTAATTCTGCCTGTTCCTGATAAGAAGACAATAACCATAGTCTTCACAAGCCATATGGAGCACTGGAGATACTTCAGTGTCTTGGTCCGTCAGACAGTTTCAGCTACAACAAACATTTCGAGAACCAGCCAACACAGTATCTGATTTTTCTGTCTTAATTTGTCACTGTTTTACATGCTAACACATTTTACAGTGATTAGTACAGTCAAAAATGTGTATCAGCTTACCCAAAGATCAAACACTGAGAACATCTATGGCTTCTAAATAGAAATAGACACATTGGTAACATATTTACATCTTTCAATTCTCGATGTGCTGAGGCAGATTTGTCTTTCTTCAAGCTTCCTACTGTGGCCCAGTCCCTCATTTCTGATGTTTCTTGGATGCTCAGAGCTTTGGGGAGCATTGGAGGTGCTGACAGCCTGGGACCCTCAAACTTATGCCTCTTGTACTTTTGGATTTCCCTTAAGTTTTTTTGTTGTTTTTTTTTTTTTTTTTAAGCACTTAAGTACAATTTCAATTTTGAATAGAATCAGGGTTTTTTTTCTTTTTTATTTTAATACCATGCAGACAACACAGGATGCCAAACAGGCTCACCCACATTAGACTGGATAATAACAAGACACAAAATGATGATAATAATCTGGGAGGGTTTTCTGGGAGATTGGCTTGGCTTACAAACACTGACATAAGGCCTGAATTCTCTTTCTGCTTAACCCAAATGTGAATGTTGTGGTGGCTTCAAAGGTAGTGGGCTGTATCCTGCCTTGAACACATTCATATCACTGACAAATTCCATGCTGGTATTTTAAAGCAAGCAGAAAAAAAAACCTCTTTTCCTGAGGGCTGTGGTTCACATGCATACCGCCAGGTACAGAGGGCTCATGTAGGATTTACACTACCATGATGAAATACTTTGCATAGATGAGTTTGAAAAGATGAATTGATGAAATCTGGAAGGGAGAGTGACAATCACAACACTTTTGCTTCCAGAGAAGCTTGTTCTTTACTCACACCATTAAAAACATGGTATTGCTGCTTCACTGTATCTAAAGTACATTAAAATGTGTATTTGAAATCAAGTGATGGAGGGGAAAAGAGGTTGCTCATCTTGTCCATGATCAAAGCCTGTTTCTGGAGGACACAAAATTTCCACACGCTTCACTGGATTTTGTAAAGGCCCTAAGCATAAATACTGACTTCTTTATTCCTGAAACCTCAGCTCACTCCAGAATTTCCCAGGGAACCTGGCCCTTTAGAGAATGCTGAATTTTTCTATTTCCTTTTTCCTCTACTTGTAAAATCTCCAAGGTTCTCTGCACACTCAAATGAGAGGGAGATCAGGAAAAAGGCCCATTTCAGAGCCCTCCCTGTTCACTATCCAAGCGCACAAGTGGACAAGCCACCTGGCCTCAGAAGATCAGAAAGGACAGATTCCCTACCTCTCCACCTCAGTTTCCCTCACAGACAAAGCAGAGATTGCTCCTCGCTGCCAGGGAGGGCTGGGCATGGGCAGCCCACCCACACAGCTGCGTCACCACCAGTGCTCCTGCCTCCAAGGCTCGAGCAGCACTTCCACTGATTCACCAAACACCCACAGAGGGGACTATTCTTGGAGATTATTTCCTTCCATCTACTACATCTGGCCATCCCAAGTCACCTTTAATTCATCATCAGCCAAGCCTGCAAGAGGTGGATTTTTTAAGGATTCGGGAGCTATCCCTGGTTGCTGCAAGCTTGAAACTTCATCTTTTGTCTCTGCCGTGATATTCCATGGCACTAAAGGCCCTGGAGCAGTATTGTCCTTGCAGTCTCCTATATTCCCTTCACATTGTTTCTCCAGGAGACCACAGACCTGCTCAGCATGGTGCCTCTCCTCCTTGCGATAGCAGCAGAAGGAGCTGTCATGGCATGGTTTTCCCATTTGCAATTCATGAGCTAGCTTTGACAACTCAGTTGCAATCACAGGAAATATGCTAAAATATTATAATGGCCTTGTTGCCATTGAAGCCATTCTGTCCAACAGTAAAGTTGGATTTCATAAATCAAAAGCAATCAGCCAAACTGTTCCAGCTAAAATACTTCCTTCCCTTTGATGACAGCACTAGCAGATTTATAAGCCTACTCTGTTGACCCGACAATAAAGTCAAAGCAATCCTAGTTATGATTTCCAACTGAATTTGCATTGCCAGTGTATGCAGATATCAGGAACTTCTTAAGGGATTCTCCTAAATAAGGTGAAGAATTGGGGATTAAGCCATGACATTTTCTCTCTGCCTGTCTCAGGTTTCATATTCTCAGCACCGGAGCACAGATTACAGCTCAAACTCAGGATGCGGTACCAGACAGCTGACAGCCTTTCTTCATAGATAGGTCAGAATTATTGGTGGGGGGATTTCTCTGGGGCCTGAAGACTTTCTTCTGGGAAAGCACAACTTGCTATACACAACCTTTACTTGCAGCAAACACACCTGACAGTCACTTCTTATCACTCATATATCCCGTTGTTCAGAGGTTAAGATTGGACTTTTGGAGCTTAGGCCTCATGGGAAAAGGAAAAACAAAGCCAGCCCCAAACTCAGACAAATGACTGATGTCAAAAGAATATTTACTTATGCTCAGCGCACAAAAGAATCATGGCAGAAACCAAGGAGGGTCCTTCTTTCTGCAAAAGCCCTTCTACATATGGCATTTCTGGCAAATGCCATCGTTTTGCAATTATTTTTTGAGCAATACCTGAAAAATGTATCAGAAAGTGAACATGTTGTGACATGTATTTCATCTCAAGGACTATTTTTATAAATTTCATTAATTATCTTTCTGGTTTGTGAATCACTCCTTATATCTAACTGTACACCTATGTACACCTTCACAGAAATATCTGTTTCTGCAGTCCCTACACAAATAAATTACCCACCCACATGAATGGGGGCTCTTTTCAGATAAATATGGCAAGACTGGGCTTTGGTGCATATGTGCAAGTAAACTGCACACACTTCTTAAAATCATTAAAAAAATATAGTAGCTATAGATTTATAAGCAATCAAAATCTAAACACAGTAACACTGCACTTATTACAGTGAATTTACATTGTTCATTTATTATATTAAGCAAACAATGGAAAGCAAATGTCTGTGACCCTGTAATTACAGATTAACTGCAAATGCAGTTTTGCTTATCCTTTTGTCTGTCCAAAAGGCTTTCTTGCAACTAAAAGGAGGGATTTGCACTATTTCTATCAACATATGGATGCTTCTCAAGTGCTTACCCATCTTTTTTGAAGTGCCTTTTGCAATGTATCAGACTCCTTTCAGTTGATTTTGTTCACTTCCATCACCATAGTAAAGAAAAATCTCTTACTAAAGAAGGTAACCTTAGCAGAGCAGCAGCAGCAAACCTGAAGTCACTACTAGGCCCAAACTCAGGCAGAATAAGGAGTAAGGACTCTAAATACCAGCTTCAGTGTCATTACTGTTATCATAAAACAATGCACAGCGAGACGGCCAACCTGCAGTGTCACATTGCTGTCTAAATAGCACTTTCATCACAGCACTTCATTGTGAAAGCCCTTTGCACACAAATTTACACAACATAACAAAGACAAATATCTCTTTTGCATATTGAATCAAGGAAACCATTTCACCTGCAGGTTGATGGGGGTGCTGCCTATTTCACAGGTAGACAATACACGGGGTTGCTCAATAACATGCAGCGTAACTCTAAGACCTAAAACACATCACTACAAATTACATAGTAAGCTTAAGCACTGGTCCTTCACCTGCCCCTGGTCGGTGTTTCCTAGGTGAGTTCTGAAACCTTCATCAAGGTTATGGGTTGCTTCTAAGGCAATCAAACCTCAGGAGTCTAGTCGAAATAAAATACACTCTCACGTGCCATCTAGGTCACTGCTGGCCAGCAGTGACTTTTGAAATGGTGACCAATGTGCCTTCACTTTCTTTGTGATCATTTTATCTGTAGTGTGAGCAACTTGCACAGCTCTCAGCATAGCACAGAGGCTTTTAAAAGAAGCTTTGTGCATTCATGCATTACAAAATCAAACTCCAAGTCCATATTTGGATTTTAACTCTCTCCCCGCCAGCCCCACCCCTGCAAAAAAAAAAAAAAAAAAAAAAAAATCCCTCATACAGAACTTTAAACTTCAAATCCTTGTAATCTACATAAGACAAGACAAGGCAACAGCCCTAGTGCTTCAGACTAAGAACTTAGACAGGGAAACTCTGTTCACTTAACTATGCCAGCACAGCTGGAACAGTAAACCTTACCTCCTCTGCATGCAGCCATACCAGTATGAAAGGGCATATACCAGCATCCTATTACTACAAAATAAATCCAGCAACTTGTGCCATCTTTTCTGCTTCAGGATTTTGTCAGCTGTAGCAGGTAAAAATTAGGCTTGGCATACCTGACAGAGCTACACTGATGACATTTAAAGAATATACCACCAGCCCTTTTACTATCCTAATAACATTCTCAATATACAAAAACGCCACACTAAGATGCTTTACATCTCAAGATGCATAATTTTAAAATAAGCATCATAATCTAAGCCACAAAATAACTTCTCTGAATTTAAACTTCATTTCCTGACATTAACATATTACAGATACCTGAAAGTGTTAACTCAACCTGCACAGAAGTGAATCAACATTCAGATACTTTTACAAAGTCTTTGACAAAAATCAACAAGGAAATGGGTTTTTTCCCTATCTTATGCTGAACAAAAAAATCAACATGTAAAATATAACTACGTAATCCCCTTGCTCTTCATCTCAAGAAAACCTTGTGAAAGAGCTTGTTCCTTCAGCAAGCACTCCAATGTGATGCTGAGATGGTGGCTGTAGGAGGAAGTGCACGTATTGCCATGTGTTAGCCAGAAGGAAAGCATCACAGACAAGGAGAAAGGAAGCACAATCAGCAGAGGAGAACAGAAATGTAAGGTGCAAGAAGGATGAATAATAAATCTCTAAAACAGTATCACAACATGATTCACACAGTTATCTGTTGCTGCCAATGGGAGTTCAACATTCTGTTCTATCCTGGTTGAAAAAAAATCATAAAGTGTTATTGTTTATTCCTAACACATCTATCTGCTATTTTTGATCAACACTTTGTGACATTATGGAACAAAGATTTTAAGTTATATATCCCCATTAAGCTATAATGCTAAAGAGTATTTTCAAAAACCTAAAGGCCAGAGACAGTGTTCAATAATATCTGGCAATACCCCAAAGTACTCAATTCAGAAACCTATGTAAAGTCATATAATCTACGCTAAAATTCTCCACCTCTGTTTTTCCTCAAAAGTTTGGTGCTTTTCTCCATAGTGAAATGGTAAATACATTAATGTGGTCTATTTATTCCTAAATGTATTGTAAATGTGCTTCTTATCTGACTTGCTTTCCAGGACAGCATGTACCCTGGGGCACAGGAGTTTTGCTTCTCCTGCACTGTTGTGGACCCAACTCTGCTAGCAGGAAAGATGCTGGTGTCCTAGATCTTATGGGATGCAATGCCTTGAGGAAATTTATATCAAACAATTATTGCATAATCTCGGGGTAAAACAAAACCTCCTACACCTTACACAGGCCATTGAGCTCCTGCCACACTCTGCAGTGTCCCTGTCAGCTGCAGGTCCCCGTGTGAACCCGCAGGATCCCCTTGCTGTGCATGTGGAGGAAATTGAATATCTCTGAGGGCATCGCGTGGAAGCCGGGGCGAGGCTTCACGTTGTCATAGTAGTGGTGAGTTATAAAAATCCCTGAGGGGTTCATGGGGAAGGCCCAGAAGCCAAAGAGGTGCACCTCTTCGCAGAGCTCCAGGGCCGCAGTCACCAGGATCAGCCCGGTGCTGACCCGCTTGGCCCGCACACCCTGGCTGAGCCAGTAGCGGGAGACGTTGATGAGATACTGGGGGTGGAAGTAATAAACAGCCTGCTGGGACTCGAAGTCATCCAGGACGTACTTGACCCGGATGGACACATCCGTGTTGCGTGTATTGTAGAAGGCCGGCAGCAGCACGGAGGCGTTCTCATACACCTGGAGCACGTCATAGAAGGGCTTCCTCCACTTCTCCAGCTTGTGGAATCTGAAGGGTAGAGGGTGCGAGTGATGGTCAGCCCATTCCCAGCAAGAAACACTCAATGGGCTTTTACTGAAATATTTCTGACACAGGGATAATTGAGATGATACTTCCCGTTGACAGCATCTCGTTGTCAATGGGAATGTACTTAGATTTGTAGCTACAGTATCCACATGAAACGTAGGGTAAAATTTCAGGTCATAAAAAAATTCATAATAACTTCATAATAACCTTGTGGCCATTTCTAATAATGTCTTGCTTCTCATGGTATTATTAGAAGTACATAATTTTTCCAAGATACGTGGTGCACCATGCAATGCAGAGCTGTATAAAAAAGTGGCCAACCAAAGCTAGCAAGTGTTTAAAATGTCTAACTAACGTTTTTAAAAGAAACCCAAAGTCAAACAAATTATTTATGTTGCTTGAGAAAAGAAATACATTCCCCATTGAGAAATGAAAGCAATAATGAGCCTCATGGTCCCAAAAATGTCACAAAATAGCATTAGGGCATTAACAAATTTAAGATTAAAATCACCTAGTCAGTCCTGTCTACAGTAAAGTTACACTGACATTTCTTTAAACATGTGACAATGTGTGTTACTTTATTTATTGATGATCTTAATTTTCCAGTGTTAGTGACTGTGATTCTATGACCTCGGCATTTCGGGTTGGATCCAGTTTCTTCCTCCTGAATGTTTCTAAGATGTTTCACTGGGACTTGCAAGCAGAGCAGGGGACATATGGCTGCGTTGTTTTAACTTAATTTTAGCTCATTGCCTTTCCATTTTCTATCATCAAAGTGCAGGTTTAAGTGTTTAACACATTTCTACAACTTATTACTTATTCAATTCAGAATGAAATGCATGATTCATAGTGATGGTATAAAGTAGGATTTGGGGAAAATTTCTGTGTAACAGAATTAAGTCAAAGGTAGGTTTGGGAAACCAAGAGAAATGAAAATACAAAAAAAAAAAAAAACAGAAATAACCTCTCAGTGATTATACTGGGATTGACTGTCACGACATCTGTCTTCACCCCAACGTCCATTAAGTATTTCTCAGATATAGGAGGCAAATTGCATCTATAAGAAAGAGAAATTAATAAGAAAGTTTAAATATTTATTTCGCCTTTTCAGGACTAGAAAATAAAATTTATTTAAGCATTTCTGCCAAGCAACATATCTAGAAACAGAGTGAGAATTAAAAATTGCATCAAAACATGTTGATGTCCAAACTGTGCAATGATCTAAAAAGTTCTTGAGGGCAATATGAAGACCTCTCTTGTTCCCTCACCTGTGAGAGATGACCCCTCTTTGCAGGTGTAGCCAATGCTCACTTTGCCGCCTTAATAGCTATTTACCTATTTACTCTGTAAGTTTAGGGTGCAAAATGGATTGAAACGCCAAGGCCAAACAGCCTATAAAAATCAAAGACTGAGTAGTATCTGAGATGTATTCAATAATTAATAAACTATATCTACAACAGTGCCTTTAAGATGCTTTGGTTTATACCCAGGAGAATTCAGGGGAGAGAAATCAAGAGAGAAATTAACCCAGACCTAATTAATCCCAAACTATCTGCTTCACTTCCTTTTCCATTTATAAGCATCTCCCAACATGGTGTGATAGCAGCAATTCTGACTCTACAAGTTCACCACAGGACATCAAAATTATTGGAAGCAAACTTGTGAGATTTGAAAGCCTTGACTTTGCCCAGCCTCCATTCACCTTGGCCTTGTCATAGATAAATCATCTCACAAAATTTAAAGCATCTCTCAAGAGATACTGAAGTTATTGAAATGCACACTCACAAGCTATCATACTGTCTTTCCTTCCAAAGGAAATCCAGCTGAAAAAACACTTTAGCATGTGTTTTCAGGGATAAAACGTGTGGCTTGGCAACCAGTTTTACACTCAGTTTAAGGTAGAGTTAGGCACTTAGTGACAGTTAGAAAGCTTTTTGAAGTGACCTGCAAGCCTCAATTAAAACCATCACTGTTAAGACCCCACACATCTCAGAAATACTGCTGCGCCTAATCCTTAAAGTTGTTCATATTTTGGAAGAATGGGGCTGAGCAAAAACTGTGATGGTATTTAGGGTAAGAGATGCTTATTGTTTTCACAATACCACAGTTCAGCTGTCAGGACAATTTCTCAGTCAAAGAGAGAGGACAGTTTGGAGAGCAGAAGAATGCACAAAATTCCTTCCAAGTCCTTCTAACACTCAAAAGATTCACACCCCCCTTACAGATAGTCTGTCTTTATCTGGCTAGAGAATTGTTTTTGGTTATCCTTTTCACAGATAATGCCATTTCTAGGACTTCCTTCTGCTGGGTCATGCCCCTCAAGTCCTTGAGCACCCTCAGTTCCACCTAGCACTGGGCACTGTGCTTATTAGGTTATATTTGAGGAGGGTTTTCAGATAATCAGCTTCAATGTTTCTGAATAGGACATTTACACCAGGATTAAGAGTGACTGAATTTTTGAAGGTTATAATGCCTTATAAAAATGGTCCCATCTGCACAAACTGTACTTTTGCCACAAGTCTCCAAAAACTCATCCCTACCAAGAGAGCAGTCCCATCTCTAAATTCATCAGGTGTTTCACCACAGAACTCTGCTCTGGCCAGTAGATGGAGATAGACAATAACTACTGGTAAATGCAACCCTTGTGTGCATTTTATATATTCTGTTGTACTATAATTAATGGTTTTCAGGATTTACTTCTGAGAACAATCCTGGCTGCATGCTGCTGGCCACAAGAAAAGATTTCCCCAAGTATCCTAAAGGTATCACTGAATGTAATCAGGGCTCCATAAGCAGCTTGTGAAATGTTTTGAATAATTCCACTGGTGGCCAAGATGAAGATTCCTGATAGTTCGGTGGAGTGGTGACTGGAAAGCAGATGTGTTCAGACCTGACCTTGAACACAAGCTTTACTCTAAAACTGATGTCAGCAGACCTTGAGTTTTAAAACACTGGCACATCTTTTTGTATAATCCACATTTGGAGATGGTGAACCAGGGGTTTCTCTGGCACGGATATATTTATTCATATTTCAGTTCTATACACTAAATCTCTATTTAATTGTTACTGTTAACAAACACAACCCAATTTATAAATTCTGTAATAATCTCCTCTTTTTTTCACCAATTTTGGTACCATTCAAGGAAGAGCAGCAGTGGTAAAACAGGACCTCTGCTAAAAGTCCTTAAACATAAATGAGATTTGCCAGACATATTTCAGCTTCTGCTTAAAAGCTTGCCATCTCCATGTGTCACATGGGCTGCTCCTTTCATCCATACTTATGGTTGTGATCCAACACAACAGCAGGGAATCTACAGTAATTATTTAATACATATGGAGTACACTAGGCTTTTAAGAAAGATGTTATGTGAAGCCTGGACTTTCTCACAGCCTTTTTTTTCATTGAAAACTAAGATAATAGTTTTCTGTAAAGTTGGAATAAGAGGCAGACACAGGGGTCTGAAAATAATGAATCCTGAATGTAGGACCTGTAAAACTTTCTCATATGATGTCAAATTAAATTAAGATTGCACTGAGCAAAAATCTGATCTAATTTTTGCTGGTGTGAAATCAGAGAAATTAATTGTTTTGTGCATGGTTATTCAAAACTGACAACAACATACCCAAGATCAGAAAATAGGCCAACTGAAATAAAGAGATTTTTTTTTTCTAGAGACCAAGTCATGAATCTGTGAGCTAGCAGTAATATGCTGTGACCCAGGCAAAGAGCTTAACAGGATTTAGAGAGGGATTAGTCATGCATATGAATAACAAAAAAAAATCATTCTCATATTTAATAAGGATTTTAAAACTGCTGCTAGACTCTCTTATCCAGGGACACTTATTGTGGGACATCCCAGTTTATGCAAAAAGTGGATAATTCCACATATAGTGAGGAGCAGTGAAGACACTTAACCTTTAAAGTTATTCTGGTGACTCTGGAGGCCCTTGGTTGATTATTGATTACAGTAAATCCTGTTACTGAGCACCTGAGCTATGTACCAATCCAGAAATACACCTCTAAGGCACATCAGCTGTGAGCTATTAACATCTGACCAAGCTGCTTGTCACTCAGTTGAGGCTCAGCTCTGCCCCAGAAAATTATGCCCAGGTTCATAGGACACTGCTTACAGGGTAATATCCATAGAAGGATGAATCCACAACCCCAGTGGCAGGGGATATCTTGAAAGAGAGCATCAGACTTTGCCAATAAATTAGTGATTAACCCCATGGAGTTTGGGAGAAATAGTTCCTCAAAGCTTTATTAAAAAAAAAATATTATGAATTAAGATGTTTTGGCGGTTTGGGTTTTGGATTTTTTGGGGTGTTTTTTTTTTTGTTTTGCCTTTTTTTTTTTTTTTTTTTTGCATTTTTTTTTTCTTGTTTTCAGCGTTTTTTTTGAAACACAGCTTTTTGTGCAAGAGGCAGACTTGACATGGCCAATTTAGCAAATGTCATGTTTCCATGTGAGGGAGGATAGCTTAGCAATGTTCCATTTGTCATTAGAAAAGGCATAAAAAAGAGGAAAATGAAGCCGTGGTCGTTACCGAAACACAAAGTCTGCACTGTCAATCTCTCGGCCACATCTGCTGTTCTTCAGAATTCCTCCATTCCCAACCACTGCACACCTCTTAAACTGGGAGCGCTGGTACGGCATATCCTGAAACAGCAGAGCAAGGAAACAGTTAAAGATCCCAAAACATGCAGACAACAAACCTCTTTTTCACTTTTTCCTTTTTTCCCTCTGCAGCTGCACCTTGGTGCATTTACCACAGGGTGTTGACACTGGTTCTGGTGTGCAATATTCCCTCTAAACAAAATGATGGGATATTTTGCTGTGCAATTAGAGATGGCACAGCCAACAAACCCAAATGGAAAAAAAATCACCAATAACGTGTTCTTTTTTCCCAAGTTCAATAACATGAGTAATTTTAGACATTTTCTTTCCCCTTTGATTTCCACGTGAGGACACAAACCATGAATTAGTGGTTTGAATCAGGCACTGTTCTCTGACCTGCCTGCAAACTGCTGGCTCCTCAGGCTCTAGTGTCTTGCTTTTGGGAAGACTGCACACAGAGCTCCAGGGCAGCCAATAAAGCCCAAGAAGTCTGTCAGACAACACATCACAGAAAACAGCCCAAATTTTTTACTGCTTACCAACTCAAATTGTACTAATAGTATTAATGATTATTAATTAGCATCGGCACTACCAGCACTGCCTTTGGTCAGGCACCTTTATAGATGATGCATCTTCTGTAATCTTTGGGCAAAATCCTGTCTTCACACACAGAGGTGCAGCTGCTGCCAAAGCCAGAGAGTAAAAATCACATCTGAGAACAAACTGGGTTGTTATGGTGAGAGGACTGTGACGAGGACTGAGCCATGCTACACCTTATGAATATGTAGAGATGTGCTTATATAAGCATGAGAGTGCTCATTTTTGGTACATACATATTTTATCAATAATCTCACACTGCAAACTACAGAGGGATGCAAGAATGGCTTGACATTTCTGGGTGATTATTCCCAGGATCTTTCCACGGCATCCATAAGGCATGAGGCAAAAAGGGCATGCAATTACACCTGTCTGAGAAAAGCAGCAGCTGTCTGACAGAGAGGAAATATGGAGCTGTCTGTGCTTTATGCAGTGATTTCTTAACACACAGTCCCTTGGCAGCCCCGGAAGGGAAATGAGAAGCCAAGTGTCCATGCTTAGCACAAGACTCCTGCCCCTACAGCATTGCTTCTGTGTTTTCAGCCCTTTATTTCTTACATGTGCCAGGCTGCAGCCCTGCTCATATGCAGAGGGCAGCTTTGGTGCCTGCCCAGTGACTCCCAAAGGCATTTTGGCATGTAATAAAGACTTCACAGTATCCTGATCATACCTGGATTGTCGGAACTCAAAATGTCCCTCAGACATTTTCAGAGGTTCCAGGCCTTGGTCAGAAGCATTTTAGACCCTGGCAAGCAGCTGAAAACAGCTGTGATTTTGAGTTTGAGCCATGGAATGAGTTACCAACTTTGAAGGTGGAACAAGCGGTCACAGAGAGTTAGATGGTATAGTAAAAGTAGTTACAAATTAGAGGGGAAAATTTTTTAGTATTGTACAGGGGGGTTTTAACACCTGTACAGGGGGGTTTTACTTTGTACAGGGGGGTCAGGAGTTCTAAGATGGAGGAAAGTGGGCCAATCCTGTTCTTCTTCTTCTTCCTTGCCTCCATGTTCTTGGTGATGTTGGCACTCACAGATTGGTTTAGAGTAGAAAAGCACATTGTAACATAGACAGTAGGTATTGGGGAAAATCTGTAAACATATAACATGTAATATATCATATAAAAGATAGCAGCAGCCCTGGGCGGGGAGAGAGATGATGGAGACACCGGACAGTGAGGGTGTCAGGAGTGTGTGTGCCTCTGCCTGGGCAGCTGACCAAGGCAGCCGCAGCAGGCGAAGACAATCTTTTAGATAACTAGCAATAAAGTGCCTTGAGACTGAACAACAAGAGGCTGCGGAGTTTTTCTTTGGAAACACAGGTTGGAGGAGAGACTTTACCACCACACGAGACCCCTGAATCAGTCCCGGGGTTCTCACACTGGATAAACACCACATCAGCTCTAGCGCATACCTTGCAGATCGCAGGCGTTCAGACTTTCATGCACTAATCAGGCAGGGTTTTGAGGATAATAGTCCTGAACTTAGATGTACCCATTCTTTGCACATCTCCAGATGCCAAAATGCTTTCTTAGATCCCAGGCTTTCCCCTGCTTCTGACCCAGCTCCCCATGTGCACATTCTGATAACAATACTTCCCTTCCTCTCAGCAGTGCTCAGAAAGCCAAATGATTAGAAGTGGTTGGACCCAGAAGGACATGTTCATTGGCATAAATTCTAAGTACTTTATCTGAATATAGGTTTGTCTTTTCAAAAGGGATAAATTTCAACTACCCCCTTCAAATATGCTGCTGTAAATCGAAGGGGCGTGCCTCTTGATAAATCTGCAGCCACATCAGCCCATTCCTGCTCATATGCAGAGGGAATTGCCCACTGATTATAACCTTGAATACCCCTGGAGGTCAAGTGTTATTTTCTGGAAAGGTTTTGAATAATCGTTATGATGAATACATTTAAAAATTATGAATCCCATTCACAGATAATCTGCAAATGGAAATAAGTATAAAAATAGTCATTGTGAATATTAATTATAAAATAATCATGCCAAAAAGAAAAGAAGACCTATCCTCAAATGCTGGATTTATTATATTTGAATATTATACTTTGAAAGAGTTCTGATAAATCAGTGTCTCTTTTATTTAGCTTTCTTATTTCATTATCCACTTTGCTCCTAAATCAGCAATATTCTACAGGAAATGACATATATATATATATATATATATATATATATATATACATATATATACATACATACATACATACATCTATTTAAAAAAAATGGATGAATGGATGGATGGATGGATGGATGGATGGATGGATGGATGGATGGATGGATGGATGGATGTGTATATATAAACATATATATATTGCAGATGACACCAGAAAACAGAAGAATCATCTAAAATATTGTATCAAAAATAAAAATCATCAAAATATAAGCAGTGAATTTTGAGGAAATGTCAAACAAGTACTAAATGCTTGGCTATAGGATAGTGCCTAAAGCAGCAAGTACAGTGAAGTTGTTCCTGCAAACGGGCAGAGGCACCTTTGGAAACATTTTGAAGATTTCTTGGTTGATATGAAAGATTCCACTCGTGTCCACTTCATATTTCAGTTTCGTTCCCAAGGGAGTATTTTTCTGGGTAGTGAACAGAAAGGATGGGGCGTTGCAACACCTTGACAGAGTAGACCTGTGAAATGAAAAAGAATGAGAGCAAAGAACTCATGACATGATACAGGATTTGCAATTGCTGTTACTCCTAACAAGGTATTTTTCACCAAAAATAAATTCTTTTAGCTCTAAGATGGGTAAAATGGTGGTTTCCTGGATTTTCATTCAGAAAACTTCAGTTTGGTGAAATTTTCTTTGATTGAGAAAACTGTGACAAAACAAAAAGAAAAGAGAGTAAATTAGATACCTGTACTTGACTCTTCTAGGCTGTGGGGAATTCATGTGCAAATTCTGCCCTGCTCTAGCCCCAGAGATCAGCTTCTGCCTCCAATATCTTGGCAAAACCACCTTAGTGAATTGTTCCTCTCTACCTTAGAGGTCTGAAACATTTTATGAATTATATACTCTTCACTGGAAATGTAGGGGTTAAAGAGTCCCTCTGGAGCTGTGGAAATATGGCGGGGCAGTATTTAAACACAGTAATTCCCCAAAGATACTGCCCCACTGGACAGACTGCTGTGGAGTACAGCACACTTTGACTACAACAAAAAAACCTTCAAAGATCTTAGTTTTGCCCTTGGCCTTGCACATGTGTGCATCAGAAAGGTGACGTGGCCCCGACAGACTAGTGCAAGGCAAACTGGTCTTGCCTAAAACTCCAAAATCTCAAATTACCAAAATTTTCTTTGTCCCTCAAACAAAATGGAATAAATTCCAGTGCAAATAAGAACTGCATAAAATCCTGAAGATGGGATTCAGAGTGAGAGAGAAAAAACGTGAAATGTAAATGGGAAAAGCAGCTTTGTGAATAAGATTCCCTTTCCCACCACCCATCCTGCCCTGGATGCTTTTCTCCTTTTACTGGCGGTACTGAAAGCCCTGACTTCTGCTCACCCTTATTCCAGAGATGGTTTATCTCTCAGTCAATGCGTTTCATACCTTTAGTGAAAAATACATATCATGGCAAACATATAAGCATGAAGACAAAGCCAGATGGCTCTCAAATAACCCATATTAAATGCCTTGCTTCTGGGGTGTGTGGCCTCATGTTTTAAGTTGGAAGAATAAGCCTGTCTTCTTTATGGGCTTTATTACAAGCACCAGAAAGCAAAAAGAGGATTATGCAAACATTTCAGTGATGTCCAATTACTCTCATATACTTGACTCATGCAGGATGGCACAAAATGATCATCAGATCAAGGCAACAAATGAGACTGGAAAAGTCAATTAACAATGTCTAACAGCAAAAATAATTACAAACAGATAGTGGAATTGAATTGTTATAGCTGGGATATAAGAAAAACCTCTTCATTAGCTGCTCCTTACAGCATTGAAAGAGATGTTTTTCCTTAATGTCCAGCTGGTTTTCCAGAGCCACAGTCCTTTTTGTGAATGCCTGATATCTGATGGAAGAAGACTCTCAAGGAAACTGCTTTCCCTAATCTCTAGATACAAACTTTATTGTGATTTTTGACCTTTATCCCTCTCTGCTGCTCAAGTAGCTGCCATTTAAATCTGCTAGATTCTCCCCATCTCATATGATGAGACTGGACTGGCAAAGCTCAAAATCCCACAGCTCAGAGGGTTTGACATTTCATTCTCCTCCTAAACAACCCTGAATCTCAGAGACCTTGTTTTGCTTTGAAGGGAGACCAGCTTCCCCATAAACTCACACACTGATGTCTCTGCCCCACTGAACACAGATGAAACAGGCTTTGGCCTTTTTTTTTTTTTCTTTTTAATTGCAGGCACTACTGTTGCTCCTGAAACCAGTTGACAAAGATTATGTTTATATCTGGGTGCCAATGAGGGTTCCTGGAGCAGTGATATATCAGTCAGGCAGGTAGAAGCAGTGACAGGAGTCTTTAATCTCTTTTTTTTCTCTCAGTGCACAGGGTGGAGAGGGGTTCTTTGTTTAATGTGCTGGTGCTGGTGGCCTGAGATAGATTGATGGTCCTCCTGGTGGTCTTTGGGAAGTCCTTTCTCATTGCTCCCACCTCTGTTCTGGCTGCCAAACCTCAGAGGGCTCCTTTCCATAGCTCAAAGTGGTGCTTTCTCTCTGGGCACAATCATTACCCCTCTCACTCCAGCTGTTTTTAAAATAATGAGCTGTAATCCTGAGGGACTCTTCTCTTCAAAACAGGCTCTGATAATCGCCTATCAAGTAATTTCCAGGAAAAATACAAGAGGAGGGAGGGGAGGGGAGGGGAGGGAGGGGAGGGGAGGGGAGGGGAGGGGAGGGGAGGGGAGGGGAGGGGAGGGGAGGGGAGGGGAGGGGAGGGGAGGGGAGGGGAGGGGAGGGGAGGGGAGGGGAGGGGAGGGGAGGGGAGGGGAGGGAGGGGAGGGGAGGGGAGGGGAGGGGAGGGGAGGGGAGGAGTTTTTAGTTTGTTTTCTCAAAACCTACTCAAATATGGCACTGGAATATATCAATATATAACATTCAAAAACTGGTTTGGCTTCAATCTACTGTTGCCTTCACAAGGCCAGTTTCAAAAGCTGTATCTTGAGAGAAGCTACACAAAGAAAGACAGAACACTATAGAAATTAACAGATCTCTGAGTCTCTGAAGACCAGAAAAAAAACAGTAGATAATCTGTGTGTAATAGCTAAGAAGCCATTAAAAAACAAACAAACAAGCAAACAAACAACAACCAGAGAAAGTCATAACCAAAGTCTGATAGTACCTACAACACCCAGAAGAAATCAAGTTTGAGCACTTTGTAGGCTAAATTTGCATTATCACCAGTGATATTACCATTCCAAGCCAGAGACTTAGGCTGACATGTTAAGTGCAGATATTAAATATCATCTCCATCTTCACTGGTGCCCAAATAACACCTGGAAGTCTTTCCCGCACCATATTCCTTGACTTTCCTGGAAGACTGTTCCACATGCCAGAAATCTTGTTGCTGAATTGTTTTTTTCTTGATAGTAGGGGGAAAATCCACATTTATTCAAAAGGATGGTACTCCAAATGTTGTCATGCTTACTCTTGCTATCCATATGAAATTTTGATCTCTGAAGAAAGCTAAACTCAAACAAAAGTAAATTTTACTCAGTCTCATTAATGTGAGACATTCTTACTTGAATAAATTGGCTTCTGTGACATTCATCTCCCATTTGCACATCTGTAGGCTCTTCCATCTGTCAAACAATTCAGTTTGTTTCACCCTAAAATATAAAAAAGAAAAAAAAAATTAAATTTATTACAAAGGCTTCATTTCCTAAAATTGCTGCAGAAAGAATATCATGCAAATTGATGGGACAAATCAGCCAGTCTAGACAGTAAAAAATTTATAATTTTTCTTCCTTTTCCTGCTCAGACATAGCCACTCTAAGGTCTATGCAGGCAAGAATTGATGTTTGGGACTGATTTCTTCTCCCTGATAGGCTTTCTCTGTTTTTTTCAGGATAAAAAATGCAATATTGAGGAAGAAGCATCTACTCTACCAAAATCTGCTGGGAAGCAAACGGGTCTTGATCATCTGGGCTTTGGGAAAAAGATGCATCCATGAGAAGGGCTCCAGAGGGGGGTATTGGAAAAGGGGATTAATTTGGCCAACTAAGGCTGATTTTAGGTTAGGTCAATGTAATCTGTGAGATCCTACAGCACAACACCATAGGTAAATTTATTTTATGAATAATTTATAAGCTCACGTGTAAGGATAAGAGTCTGTGATGCTAAGAGGAAATGAAAAGCCCTTTAAATAAGGATCTCTACCTCTTCCTCTGCTAATCAATAGACCTGTAGTCACATTAAGAAAAAAAAAAAAACCACAAACCACTCCTATTTCAATTAGGCTGATACAGGATGACTCATTTTTTGGTGATATCACCAATTCCAAGAATTTCCACACTGAAGTTCTCACATATTCTTGTGCATTTGGACAACAGAGATAATTAAGGCTTTGCAAATATCTAGAGGTAGGAAGCAACTGTATAATCTGGCTAAGAAATTTGGAAGTCTGTGATTTCTGCTAGATTGATTGGTCTTAATGAGTTCTTTTCAGGCTTGACGGCTTTTAATGTTTGAATAAAGCATAGACTTTTAAGATAATTATATATCTAATACGAGTAGAACCAAGCATTTCCCAGGCTGAGGAAGTTGCTGGGAAGAATTAGGTCATATTGTACTTTCTGTAGCCCACCAGAACACATTAACTTGGAAATCTTCCATTACCATAAGGGCTGACTTGGGAAACATAGCAGATTTGAATCAAGAACATCAGAAGAGACCAGCAGAGTAAAAGAGCTTAAAGTCAAATGGCATCTACCATAGAATTTAGGGTAACTCGTATCTAACTGAGCAGGACTCCACTACCTTCCTTGGGCCACTGGGTAAGATGAAATAAAACGAGGAATTCTCTGTGTCCTCTGTAAGTATGCAGAAAGAAAAAGAGCAATTCAGAACTCCCCATCTTCAGCAGAACATTGGAGAAGTGTGACATTCTCACTCCTCCTATTTATTTTTAAGCGCAGCGAGTCAGCAAGCAGTGCTGAGTATGTTACTCGTGTATCCTTCATCCAGTGCAGGAGGCAAGGACATAACCTACATTTTGCTGTGCACAAAGTCAGTGAGGCAGGCATGCTCAGATTCGTGCAGACCTGGAGCAACAAACTGTATTTTCTGTAGCCCTGGCTAATTAATGTTATGCATGTGTGGAGCTGCACTTTTTCCCAGGGCACTTTGCAGACCCTGTGCATTGCTTGTAATGTTACTAAACCACTGGCTTTAGATGTGGTGAGGGATTAGGCATAATCTAAGCACCTAAACTCAGCAAAATGCTGAAAATGCAAAAAGGCAACACTAAAATCACCCAGCTGTGCACTGCCATACTGGCAAACTCACTTTTTTCACCCAATTCCTTCACTGTGGCTTCATATATACATGTCATTTAACTAATTGGTTTCCTGACATACAAAATGCACCACAAAACACAATTTAGAGATATTTTATTGTTTCCCAGAATAACATTTTCTTACCTTTTCACTGAGGGGTTTTGAGTTGTGAAAATCTCTGCTGTTTGTAGAGGTCAGAAATACAAATGGGCTCAGAAAATATCTAAACAAATAAATATAAAGGTCTATTGTCCACTCTGATTATTCTAGTCTGGACTCCTTCTACAAGTCCACAAGTCCCTATGCCAGTATTTATTATCAGGAAGGGCTGAGAATTTTCTTCCTTACTCAGCCTTCACTACTGGCCACGGTCAATGAAAGAGCCTTAAGCTAGACATTTGCATGAGTCAGTCTGGATGCTCTTACTCTTTAATTACTGGAAACATGATATTACAGGCACTGTGTTGAAATCTCAGCAATAATTCTAGGCCTGACCAAAATGCCTCAATGTATGGGAAAAGCTTCCATGTTCTGTAAATAGATATCAGATCAAATTCAAACACTGCTTGCACAGGTAAGAGAAGGCTAGAGACTCCTTCTAAGATCTTGTTGATGTCATTTCTTGAGCCTTGCACCTTTTGACAGTGTCATTTTAAGATACAATTCCGTCCTGCCTCAGAAGTAACACTTTTAGCAATGCTTTTATTGCTAAGTACTTGCACTTTTTACATTTAGTTCATACTTACATTGATAAGACCTTCACCTCAATGATGTCCTGCCTTAATTCCAGGCATTTTGTAGAGTTGTATTCCAAAGGTCCTTCATAAAACTCAAAATACCTGAGGAAGGACAAGAAAATATATAAAAAATAAGGTTTAGGCTAGAATAATTGTCGTGCACATCAACAGAATTTTGCTGACAGTTGTCATTTAGGATTTTTGCCTAACTTGAGGCTGCACTGCTTGGTCCATAGGCAGCTTGTTACTCCACAGGAAAGCACAGATGTCCCTGCTGGTCCTAGAACAGTCTCCCATGCCAAGTTTGTCCATTCCTACAGTTCACCTATCTTGCAGCAATAGCAAGGACCAGCTACCTTTTCCAGCAGTCAGCACTTGGCAGCAGGAACTAAAAGTCAGGGCAAAAGCACTGATCATTTAAGGAACACTGTTCCCATCTTTTGGGTGCCTGACTGTGCTGGGTTGGAAAAAACAGTACCATAAAAATGCTAGAAGTTGTATTCCATCTGTGGAGCCTATTCCATAGTGCCTGAGCAACTGAGCTTTTCATTGGGATTTACTCTTTTGACTGTTTGGAGGGGAATGGAAACAGGGATTATATTATAGAAAAAAAAAATTGAGAACAAAAGGATTTGAATGCTCAGACACAGCACAAATAAGAGTGATATTCTTAATTAAAACATAGACATAAATATTTACTTTATTGGCTAATTTCTTTACCTTTACTGGGCTGAAGGGGAAGAAAACGGTAGCTACTCATACTCAGGGAAAAGAAAAAGCCCAGGCTGACAAGTAAACTCAATGAGTCTGTATTGAAATGAAAAGACGTAGGCCTTAAACCAAGCTCTGCATCAGTTTCATTCCTAATCTTTAGAAGTCTCTATTAAAACCTAGTTCCAAAGACTTGCACATACCCATGAAGCACTTGAGAGGACAATGAAAAACTAAGAGATTATCACCTCGAGGAATAGGTATTATGAACCTAAGGCTAGAGAAAGTTCTTTCGATGGATCCTTCAAAATCCTGGAATTCATGAGGTAGTTACTCTAAGAACTCAATTTTTGAATCTTCAATGGCAAATACAAAGATAAGATTTGTGGAAAAGCTTCATTCAAGACATCACTGGAAATGTAATATTTGAGGGTTTTGTCATTGCAAAATAATATCAAAATTCAAGTTTGACCTGAGTGTAACTGAAACAAGTCCAAGAACCTCCCAAAGGAATTTGGTTTCAACTGGGAATGTTTCTGTCCGGTCAAGTGCTGCTTTAGGAAGTGTCTCCTTCACCTCTCCCTGAGGTTTTCACCACTCAGCTTTGTCAAACCCCAAACCAAACATTTATGAGATCCAGTGAGAGGCACAAACTTTGAGACTGAAAAGAGAAAGCCCATACTTAAAAAGGGGGCAGGAGGAGAACAAAAAACTCCTAATAAAGAAGTCAGAAAATCCCAATAGCTCATCTTAAAAAAATGTGGCTATTTGTAAATGTGTTTGTACAGCCTTCAGGGCAAAAAACATGTATTTTTATAGGTTTTGTAGAGGAAAATAGGTAGTTAAAGTATTCCAAAATCAGTGAGAAGGCTATGAAAAGACTTCCTCAGCCTGCTGAAGGGACACCTAACATAAATTTACATCTGGATTCTCACCAAAAGGCTCGCACTCTCCTTCAAGCTGAATTATTCACCTGGACATTCAGCATTTACTAAGGAATAGCTGAAATCCCCTGTCCTGGCACTTGTCCCATGTGCTTGTCTTGTTGAGCTGGAGCTGAACAATGTGTGAAAGAGGCTTCAACTGGATTTGGATTAAGAGCCCACCTGCTTGCAGCAGGCTAAAGCCCTTTGTGGCTGTACTCCAGGTAACTTCCCCAAACTAAACCAAAATCTATCTTTAGACAGCACCATAGAATTTCTTACTGGTCACAGAATTTTCCAGGGCTGAAGGAGTACTCTCTAGCTACCAGTATAGACAACATTTTAATCCTCTGAAATAATAGTTTTTCTGACTGTCTTTTGCAGAATTAGTCCTTTTCTTTGGTTCTTTGAGTGGGACAAAGCTGGCACCCTGGATGTGCATGTTCTACACAGTAGTTAGGGGCGGATACACACCCCCACACAACATTCAGCACCTTACACACCCCTCCTGCTTGGGTGTGCAGGAGTGAGCAACGCCTATCAGCCTCATCCTCACCTGTCACCTAACACTTCATTTCAGTACCTTGAATGTGCCTTATGACAGATAAGAAGGACAAAAAATATAGATTACCATTTATTTTTATCTTTCCTGTGCACTTCTGGCTGCACTGCTAGGTTAGAGAGCAGCAGCTCAGATGTTGAACAGCACATGCTGTCACGCGGGAACATCATAGCACAGGAAAGCTGCCTTCAGCCTGTGGCATTGGAGTCAAAGATGTCATTCTATGAAACGGAGATGAAATTTCCTGTGCCCCAGCCTTTCCCTTTGATCATTGCCTGTTTACTCAATCCACAAACTAAAAACAGAAATGAAAAAGGATGTGTTACCACAGCAGCAGAAGGTTAAGGAGGAAAGGACTGGGTCAAAAATAAACCACTTCTGACTCTGAAAGGAAATCAATCCATGATGTAACACTGCATTTCTAGCAGAGCTATTCCATGAGCCCATAGATTGAAAAAGCATAGGACTGTCCTGCAAGTCTAACTCTCACAACAGCTTCAGCTTTCCCAACAGAGCCACTGGGAGCATTGAATTCACCATTTACTAACCCATGGAACTGAAGAGGGAGGATCCATGGGATGGGCTGGATAACACATTGCTGTTGGGATATGTGCAGCAAAGGCAGGGGACACCAATGGCAGTGTCATTCTGCACAGAGAGAGGAGAAAATGTTGCTGGCCATGGAGTCAGTTAGACTGAAGTGAGCTCAGTGATCCAAGCTATTGAATAAACATCCTTTGGGCTGTCCTTCATCAGCCTGAACCTCACTGCAGCAGAACCTCACAGCCAGCCACTGAACCTTCCTTACACGTGCTGCTACAGATGCTGCTGCATGTCGGCTGCACGAATGGTGGTGCTGCAACAGCATTAGGAATTTTTCAAGACAGTGGCTGGTCAATAAACTCAGGAAAAAAGGGTTCTTTTCTTTCTCCCAGGAGTGTTCATGCTATTTATTTCCTTCACAGTGATTCTTCCTGCTGCAAATATTAGCAGAGGCTGTTCCCTGGAGCACTGGACAACCTCTTCCCACAGAAGTGCTTTCCTAGAATGCAGCTTTTGCAAAACACCAGGCCCTAGCACAACGAGCTTGGGTTCCCTTAACTTCCAGAGATGTCCTTTAAACTCACGTCCTCCTCTTGCAAGGGTCTGGTCCTGTGGGAATGTTTGGTGATCAGACCCCCACACTTTCCCAGAGGAAGCATCAGTCTCACCCACTCCCTGGTCTCTGAGAGCTCTTCCTGCCTATTAACTCCCACTCTAAAACATGTAATTCCCTGTGAACAACGATGCATTTGCCTGTCAGAAAGTTTAATTAGCACAAATGGAAACTGTCCTCTCAATCATCCTCCTCAGTCTGATCTCCAGCTAAGAAATAAGGATGTAGTACAGTTTATTTTGATTTACATTCTGGATTAGCGAAAAGTGACAAATCTGACTATACTACTTACTCCTTTTGCTGCAGAAAAGGTCTGTGTTTTGGCTTTACAAGAATGACAGTCAAGTTTTTTTCTCCATAAAACAGAGTTGATCTCTCACTGCCATAATGTCCTCTCCCTGCATTTTTCCACTTCCCCTGATGAAACATAAATAAATTCTATCCCTTTAAAGGTCACAAGTCTACAGGAAAACCAATACAAAAATTCATGATTCTTTACCTTAAGAACACAACTGCAAATGAATTACAACAAACAGCTCAGTTGTATGTAGGATTATGCTTTCCCAGGGCACTGGGCACTACACACCACTCACTGCTCTGTGTCCACTCATGTCAATCGTAGCTTTCAAACCTACAAGACTTTTCCAGGATCAAATTCTGTGCCTGAACACCACACAAGCTGCAAGTGCTCAGAGGGCACTGTTTTTTACAGCTCACTGCACTCACTACCCAGAAATTAGATGCTGTTCACGCTGTAATTTTCCATTTTTGACTGACTGAAGCTGTCTTCTTTTCTAACCTTCACATCCCCCATTGCAACCTCACCTCCAGCTGAGCTGCCTTCTGAGCTTGCTAGTGAGAGACACATTTGGTTTCTCACTACATCAGCTAACACAGATCCTTGATCATCTGCAGTTGGGCTGCTCCTGCTTTGATCAGAAGTAAGCTTTTCTTGATCACTGCACAAATTAAAAAGCATGAGACTTCAATCCTGCCTTCAAGTGACGCTTGGGTTGAGACACTGATTTGTCTGATGTATCGAACAAATGTTTAAAAGTGTAATTTACTGCAGTTGTCAGGCATCTTTTAAGCAGGATCATTTTCTGAAGCTGCCTTCCCATTCATTCTGCTTGCTCCTGAGGCGCCAGTTCTTGACGCTGTTTGCAGGAAGGCTGCGGCAAGACCGCAGAGCATCGCAGGAAGGATTCCACCTACCCTGCAGGAAAAACAAAGATCTTTCCAAAAATATACATTATCCAGTGACTAAGAAATGAGAATAAATGAACCAAGCCCTGCAGGCTTCTACTAAATGCTTATTAAGAGTGCTGTCCAATTAGCAGTGCCTGCACTCATCAGTATGGGCAAATCCATGGCCAACCTCAGGTCGAGATTCACCTCCCTTACTCAGGAAGGTTCCAACTGTGCCAGAGCACATTCCCCAAAGCACAGGGGACTCACATCATCTGGCAAGGCCTGCATGGAACCTTCAGGTCCCTGGAGCAAAAACACTGCTGTGGTGGAGCCTATCACAGCTCTAGAGGCCCTGGACAATCCATCCGGAATAGAACACAGTAGGTGTTGACTTAGTCAGGGCCCATTGTGAGAGACCAAATCCCTCTGGCCTTTGCTTCTCTTAAAGCTTCTATGTGACAACATCAAAACCCACAAGATTTGGTCAAAATGTTTAAGGGCTTTACATCAGTTCGGGGGTTCTTCTCCCTTAAGAAAACCATCCTACCACTTTGTATGG